CCTGACCCCAAAAAATGCTGCTTCGCAGGTTTGTTCTTGGACGACTGGGCGTTCTTCTATTTTGAATTACACTTTCGACAGGTGTACCCGCTTGCTGCAGTAGCTGCACGTGGTATTCACATGCTTGCAGCTGTATGCAAGGAGTTAATCTCCGCAGCAGTAGCAGGTGACGTCTCGCGCCAATGCCGTGACACAGTGAGTCGTGAACGCATTGCTGCTAGAGCTTGCCTGGCAAATCTCTCCAGTGTCCTTCACTGCTTCCATGGCCAAAGCGGTCTGTACAGCATCCTCGAACATGAGGTCCAGCTGCTCCAGGAGCCTGGTCCAGATTGTAATGCTGATTATTCCTCAGACTATGCAATCTCTCGGCATGTTTCTTAGCGCTGTTCCAAAATTACAGTGCTCCAACAGGCTCTTCAATGCTGCAACAAAATTCCTTACGGTTTCCCCTTCTGTGGGAACACGCAAATTGAAATGAAAACATTGAACAATACCAAAAGGTTTGGGGCAGTACTGGCTCCCGAGAATGGTAAGAACTTTGCCTAAAGACTTATGTTGTGGTTTGGCGGGCTTCACCAGATCTCGGAGTAGGGAGTAGGTTTCTGCGTCGCAACTTAAGAAAATGTCCTTTTCCTTGTCATCGTCAACATTGTTCGTTGAAAAAAAAAAAAAGAAAGCTCCAAGACGTTCGACGTATGATGGGCTCTCCTCACCTTTCTCTGAAAAGATTCAATTCTGCCGAATGTAGGCGTGGCTAACTCAGAAGCTTGAAGAAAACCTGATAGCTGTAGAATATGTCGTGAACTTGCAATGCCCGAAGAACCTGAATAAATAGACCGCTCTCACTAAGCGTTCGGCACATGCGTAACGCCGCCATAACTTTAGTTCACCAGAGGCAGACGGCAGTGCACGCGAGGGCTCCTGCCGTCTCGTGCTCTACACACACAGAGCTCCAGCGAGGTTGACGCACGCGCAACTAGACTAAAATTTCCTCGATACATTGCGGCAGCGCTGGCATAGTCCAACTGGCTGGTGAGATCGGTCTATTATTTTTCTCGTCACCAATTGTTACAAGTGTAGATAGAACTTGCGACGCGGGAAGAACCTGAATTAATTCTTTTTCTCGTTACCAATTGTTACAAGTGTAGATAGAACTTACGATGCCTGAAGAACCTGAATGAATTCTTTTTCTCTTCACCAATTGTTACAAGTGTAGATAGAACTTGCGACGCCTGAAGAACCTGAATGAATTCTTTTTCTCGCCGCCAATTGTTACAAGTGTAGATAGACCGCAAGACCAGCAGGACATGACTGGCTGAACAGAAACATGACAACGTTACTTTCACTTCTGGACCTGATGAAATGCTTTAATGTCTCGTGATGGTGATCGTCGTAGCAGACAACTACCACTAGGGAATCCGGCAGTGCTACTAGCCTGATCGAGATTGTGACAGTACCCTATTGCTGTTCACAGACGACATCAAACTTTTCTCAGTGTTCATTCTCTTGTCAATTGCATTTTTCTGCTGTAGAGCAGCAACATGGCCTTGTATATATTGTGTAATGCTTGCTCATGCTTCAATATATTTTTATGTTTTCATCTGTTAATTTATGCAACGAAATGAAAACTGTATAGTGCTTCAATATATTTCTATTTTTTCATCTGTTGGTTTAGGCAACGAAATGAAAACTGTATAGTACTTAATATATTTCGATTTTTTCATCTGTTGGTTTATGCAACGAAATGAAAACTGTATAGTTGTTTTGTGGCATATGAAAATAAACATAAGTAAAATTGTTGCACCAAGACTCACCTTGGAAACCTTGGGTACCTAAACCCCGTCTCCTCCTCACTAGGAAATGCCTCCCTGATTGTCCGCACAACACAAGAAGGCAGGACAAACCTGTTGCCCCTGCCAAGTCGCCCCCACACCCAGCGCACAAATCGGCGATAGGCAACATACCTATAACGCCTGGAAGAAAAAAAAAAAAAAAAAAAAAGATCACAACATTAGGAGAGTCCCAGTTTCGTCTGCCACATGGTGGGTAGAATCTATTCGACCCATTTAGCAGTCGTAATAAACGCAACAATGGCCCAAAATTAATTTTGATAACTTCGAAAAGATGCCTTGGCAAAAATTTGTGAACATTTTTTTACCAGTGTTATGTGCGTTACTTTGAAATAATTAATCTACCAACCACCTGCGGGCACCTCTATAAATAGCAGCGTGACACGTTAAAAAGCCAATCTATTCGGTCACTTCAGAGGGCCAACGTGAACGCCCGATAGATCGCATCAACTTCGCCGAGTATACAGAATATATTACCTATGCATGTCGTGGTGCATGGCGAATCTTCGGTCGTGCAACTCGAAGTAGGCTAGCCTGAGCATCACTAGGTTGAGGCACACCAGGGGAAACTCCTCGTGCGTCGTGATGCAGCCCAGGCGCTGAATCCGAGTCAACTTGGGACCCATATCCCTGCAGCAGCGGCACTCGTCGGGCACGAAGCTGGGCAACACAGCACATCGGCTGCAGCTGCACCTAGTGAAGGCCACGAAGTAACAATATCACTTGGGTGAACTGATCTATGACTTTTAGATTGGTCTCACCAGTCAGTGTTGTCGAGACGCCACAAATCAGGGTGGGGCGAGAGCTCCGACGACTCGGCGACGGCGTCATCCGGATCGTCCCATTCCCGATCAGGGGTATCATAAGGCACCAAACCCAGTTGTTTCGATCGTTCGACTATTTGTTTTTCTAAGTCTGAGAGGTCATCGGGCACCGAAAAGGGAACTTCGTCCGATTCTCCGACCATCCTCACTATGGTCACTGCTACCCGAGTCCCGGCTCTCACTGCTAGCCTGCTACAGATGCCGAGCTCCGCCATTTTAACTGAGGGTGGATAAAAAGCCAGGAGGCCTCAAAACTTCCGGACTCCCGATTTCGGATATTTTAAAAGAACGTGCGCAGTACGTTCAAAATTGGATTAAAAAACATGTTTTACGAATGCCGGTATTAAATGTTATAGAAATGTCGCCTACAAAGCTTCTAAATTTTATGATTTTTGACGTCACCGATCAAAAGAAGGGAGGAGGCTAGAGGCGGGAGATTCAAACGCCAAAACTAAAAAGGCGCGCGCGCGGGCGGAAAATTTTTTTTTCGCGATGCGGTTTTTTTTGCGTGTCTATGACTGCAACTTGCATCGTTTTAGACAATAAAAAAAATACGACCTTTGGGGTGTCAGTGCCCCTTTAAATTTGAAACTTGGTAAGCAGGCTTCATGTAAACAGTAGATACAAAAAGATGTTCATCATTGTTACCAGTGGCCATCACCAACTTGTTATGCCTAATTCACTTGGTCCGATTCTGCTTGCGATTTTCAGTATCGGCGTCGACCATCTCAGCTACGGTTCACGCTGTTGCAGCCCGAGTGACTTCGCGACTGAAAATTGCGAGCGAAATCTCATCATGCGAATCAGGCTTTAGCGTACATTCTGCGGCGTCCACGCGGAATGAATCGCCGCATGTCACATTATTCACGCGAAGTTTTGCGGTGTAACGAGCCTCGGTAATATCCCTGAGGCCGCTCAAGTAGTCAGGCATCGCCAAAACGACGTAGAATCACCAATTCGAACACCAAAAAGGGCAGGGGGACTCACACCGACAACGACAACATCGCATTCCAATGGTTCGTTTATGGGCGACGGCGAGCTTCTCGCCCACACTCCATCGCGCATGCGCGGCGCCAGTGGCGCTCCAGTTTGTAAATATGAGTTGGTGTAAACTATAATTTAGGGAATGACATATAAAATATCAAGCAAATAAAAAAATGTCAACCATTTACCTACTACTCAGTTTCATCTGAAATGACCCAATACCATGGTGTTAAGAGAGTTCAGCCTTCAGTTGTGTGGTGTAAACATCAGCCAGTGTGCAATGGTATTACAAATACCAGAGTCACCCCTTGCGCGAAGGCATGATGTTGCTCCAATGACACTGCCTAGCTTTCTGCTTCTTCGTCCATCTATCATTTTCTTTTTAGACACAGCCTGCTATTGTTTTGCCCTCGCCATGCCCGCCATCAATTGGGGCATAAAATTCATAATGTTTCCTGTTCATATGTTCGTTATACCTTACAATACAACACAGACCATGCTACAGGCCACACAAGTCAACTCAATGTAGTGACCTCGGAGAGAGGCGCTGTGATACGTTGTCACTTCATGCGCTAAGTTGCCCGAGACAGCTTGCAACGGCCGCTACAATCCATTGCACTTACAAACGGAGTATAGTGACTTCTAGATAAATTAATTGAATCATTTTGTCAACTCGCTACATGCACTAAAATACTACTTTGAGAAATTAGCACAGTTGAGAGCAATCAACCAAGCACAGCACCCCGAGGACTGATGTACCACAAAGTTCAGTTTTCATAGGCACTACCAGACACATCACAGATAAAAAAAATATAAATAAAAAAACATTTTTTTGTATGATGCTTTGTGGTGCCTGGGAGGTAATGCGACCAACTATGGCCACTGTGGATACGGTGCTCGAGTAACCACTAGTTGTTGAGACACAGCGCCTCCAACAGAAATTGACTGCAACAGACTCGGCAAAACCGTTATTTCTTTATTTTAAGACAATAGAATACAACAGGTCTTGGTGGTGGATTCTGAATTACATGTTTCTAAGTGTTCAATAACGAAAATTAAAAAAAAATTGAGGATGACAATATCTTTGAATTCTCACAAAAAAATTGTTTGACTTTTTCTATATTTAAAAAAACTTCTGAGCATGCATAAAAATATTTACGTTTCGGGAAGTCTTATTACCCTGTGGAGCTCGAAGATATGTTTATGCGCAATTGGGAAAATCATATTTCCACCTACTCAGACGCAATTTATTTTAACAAAAACATGGAAGGTCTTTTTGTAAAAGTAGGTCTATTACATTGCAAGGACATATTTTGCTAGCTCCTATAAAATCTTTATTGAAAACAAAAAATAGGCACGACATTATTGTCCTATCTTAACATGTTGCCCCATTTGTTTTTATCGCCTTCCTTGTTTCTGTTAGACTCTACACATTGGCCGGTTCCCCAATTCCCCATTCTTGGGTCAGGCTCTGTTGATGCACTGTTTAGTTAAATTAAACTATTATTGCTACATGAAAGTTTTATGAGTCTGTGCTTTGTCGGACACATGTCTATATTTCCTGTTTACAGTGTAACAGTTACACTTGCGGCTCACCCGGACCGTGTCGCTTGCTCCAGTGCCGCTACAAGCCATGCCTTCATAGTGCCTTGTTTGGAAGACTTCAATGTCATGGGTGCCTTGCGACCACGGCTTCTAGAAAAGAAAAAAAACACAATTAATTGCCTGCACGCAGAACACCAAAGAAAAAAATCAAACCTCTGGGTATCTAATGCCTGTCAAGAATATCAATGTAACCTGTGCTTTAGTGCACATTCTTTATACTCTGTGCATTAGTTGTAACATGCGGAAGAGAGCAGATGCTGTACAGAGATGTTCTCCACCTAAAGTAGGTTTAAAGTATGTCCCTTACATCTATCACTTGCTTCATGCAGTTAAGCATGTTATGTACGAACCAAGATTGAATTTGATATTCAGTCAATTTCCGTGCAAACGACATAAACAATCACGTGCCTCTGTCAAGTGGCAAATTTGAATGCAAGCTCTGCTAGGTACATATATCTGTCTCCTCTGGTTGAAATTAATCACAGGAGCTCACTCTTAAGAGACATTGCACAATTTCAGGTTGTCCGAGCCATGCAGCTTGCTCCACCTTACGTATCATTGCGCAGCATGTTAGTAACATGACAGCCTCCTTGTCAACGCTAAAGTCATTTTCCTCGTTTGAGGTTTTTTGGCAATGCTTATTCCACAGCCTGCAGCCCTAAAACTTGAATCTCTATCATATTGAGGGCTATATCACTCAGTTTGCATCCACCCCCTTCTACAGGCTGCAACCACAGAGGCATAACATAAACAAATCCAGTCCCTATAACACCAAAAAATATTGAACGGTTCCAATTGCATTGCTGCATCAATAGACCCATTTTCTGAAAGTCCACACAAGGCACACTAGATCTTGTAAACAAGTACAGTAGCACAGCCAAAAATAATTTACGTCCCCACTCACCCCTCCCAATATTAATTAGCACAGTACGCTGTGTAATAATAACGCTACTTTCCACTTACAGTATGGGTGCATGTTCTGGTGTAAGTCATCACACCAGTAATAGGCAAAATAAAATTGCCCATAAAACTGCATATCGAGTGGAACCTTGATTATGCATTTCCAGTTTAGGCAACGTCCTCCATTTTACTATAAATTAGCGCAGGTTTGTCAAAGTGCTGTAATTATCGTCTTTTTGGGTAATACGACTCCGGGTTCATTATTTGACACTTTCGAGCGTTCCCATAAATGTTGTATCATAAATGTTCCACTGCATACGGTCTAAACTTCCAAGGGGGAGGGGGGGGGGGGGTATTGAAGTTTCATGAGTAAAGCACTGCGGATTCGCCAAATGCCCAAGAACTAATAACACACACCACAGCGCACTATAGCAAATAACACTCACACCTTACACACGAAAAATAAAGCAAAATTCAAACAAACCGCGCTGACTGACAACTCTTTTTATATAACTTTGTCTTCTTCGACCTCTAGCACCACCGAATTTCCCAATTCACGCGCACCGATCTCCTAGATGCCTAAAAACGTTTTCTCTTTTTCTGTCAGGTGTAAAGTTGGTGTACTTATACAGTTGATATAGTTCCTGGCGATATGTTCTGGGAAATTCGGTGGTGCTAGAGGTTGAAGAAGACAAAGTTATATAAAAAGAGTTGTCAGTCAGCGCGGTTTGTTTGAATTTTGCTTTATTTTTCGTGTGTAAGGTGTGAGTGTTATTTGCTATAGTGCGCTGTGGTGTGTGTTATCATGTGCAACCAACTCGCCCAAGCTGCTACGTCCCAAGAACTACCCACGGTTATGCCCAGTGAACTGGCAGGTGCGGATAAAAATAAATTAGATTTGGCGGATTGTGAATTGGATGCAGATGTCATGGGCTACAGGTGCGGATATCCATGGGTCCGGATCTATATTTTTGTCGAGCCTGCCCTCAAGCGTGTGTTATCGCAGAGCGAAGGGAATAAGTGAGTGATTCTACAAAGTGCATTATGGAATGTTTGGCAGGAAAAAAATTACTCTCTCAGAAAAGGAGTGCCAATTTGGGAGAAAATATTTTTTTACACTAAGACCTGAGTCTTATCAGAAATCGGTTTAGTGTTCTGCGCCACCAAACCTGCTGTCCCTACAAAAAATAAAGAATGTAGGGGCATCAATTGCCTTAGGAAAGTGTGTTCTTGTCTGGCACGAAAAGAGTGGAGAACATTCTTTGGGCAAAGGAAACTCAAAACGTAGAAGCCACAAAAAAGTAGAAGCCCCAGTCGTGTAATCGCGTCTTACCACGCATATACCAGTGCTTCTCTGCAAAGAGTGACCGCCTTTCCTCGCACACTTTTTTATTTATTAAAGGGACACTGACAGGGTATTTATGCTCGCCAAGGTTTTTAGTTGTACGTGACATATGAGAGCTCAACTACCCAGAACAGAATTTGCGGCTCGAAATTCGGTTTCTTTCCGCCCGAAAACCGCCGATCAAGAACTGGCCGGTTCGAGTCTCGCTCACTCTCCTTTCCGCGGTCACGGGCCGTTTTCTAAGGTATCGATGCGACCACCAAATTTAATCAAAGTCGTGGGTCACTGAAGGCACACACTCAATATTAAAAATAGAAAAAAAAATACGAAACCCATTTTTTGTGGCTTCTAAAAAGCTGTAGATACGTTGATTGATAAAAAAAAGTTCCACAGACAACCGGAAGCCTTATGTGCGTTCGTCGTTTCGCGTATCGTGGGACTCGCGGGGACGGCGATGGCAGCGGACGACGGGCATGGGACCTCTATTTCAGAACTGTCGTTCGCGGTACCGGCGAATTCTGTCTACCGTTAAAAGAGAAATTTGGGACTGATCAAAAGAATTGGTATTCATCCCGTACGACACGCCCGGCCACCAAGCAGATTTGCACGAAGACGTCGCCGAGCCGTCGCTCCCTTCTCGTGGCTGAAGACATCGCTCGTGCAAACGTCAAGCACGACGTGTCTACTTCGAGTTGAATATTCACGCGTACGATTTCTTTACTACGTGCGAATGTCCCCAAAGCGTGGTCCTTCCCGACTTCGACCCGGGAGTGCTTTTGCTAGAGAAAAATCGACAGCAAACTTTCCAACTTACAGTTTACCGGCTGAATTATTACTAAGGAAAGAGATCCACCAGAAATGAGATGTGCTAGTAGCTCAGTGGGAAAGACGTCCGGTTCACACGCGTTATGTCTGGGATCGATCCCTCGTGTAACTCTATTTTTTTTTTATATTTTCCGATGTTTACATATCTTTTTCTTTTTTTTTTACAATCATCACTGAAGAAACAAACAAAAAAATAACAAACAAAAGTTGTGGACGATACTTCGCTGAATTAAATGGTATGGGATTTCCGTTTTGACACCTGCAAACTCAATGTAATCACTTTCCACAAAATACGAGGAGCATACAAATCAGGTAGCGTCCGCTTTCCGAGGTGCCCGTATATGTTCTACAGGAATTGCAGCCAGCCATTGGTCCCGATCCCGTTGATCTTTCGGAAACTCTGTCGCACAATGCCATTTTTTTTCGGATGCAGGACATGTGAGCCAGCTCTTCACGCAACATCTTGGGTGTATTCTTTTCGGAGCCGATCATGGAAATTCACCACGGGCACTTACTACTCATCCTCCAACTCCTCAATGTACAAAACAACTCATCTTGGAGTACAGAACAACGAGCGGAACAAACGTAACTGCAAAAGAATCGCACGGCGAGCAGTTCCCGCACGCCGCATCGCACACCGCATGTCGTGTCGTCTGCTATGGAGAGGAGAAAAAAAAAAAAAACGCACGGTCGGGTGTAGTTACGTGACTTCCGCCACTCACTCTCTTCTCTCCACTTCTCCGACCTCCGTCGGGTTTCGGTTTCGATTTCGAGCAGTTGCGTCTTTTGGCTGTATTAAACAAATACGCTACTCTGTTGCAAAATATTAATTGGGTAGTCCTCCGACACCATAATAAAGCGCCTAAAAAAAATAAAAAAAAAATTTGGGGTGGTCAGTGTTCCTTTAACTTAAAAAAAAACCTTCAAAAAAGAAAATGTAGGAGGGACACGCAGGTAAAAAACAAATTTAACATGAACAAAAAAAATTTTTTTTAGAGGCTGGTACACATGTACAGCACAAAGCTGATGAACCTAATTTAGCACTGATTCACCACTGTATCACTGGTGTAGGACACAAAGCACAATGTCAGAACTGCATAAACAAGATCAGCATTACAGTATAGACCACTTATAACGTAACCACTTATAGTGCAGGACCGGGTATAACGCGGCTTTTTTAAACCACCGGTTCGCCTCCCATAGAACTCCATGTAATTACATACCACTTAAAATGCAGGCGCGAAGGGAAATACTGGTTATAGTGCGGTTTCTGGAACAGCGCGCCGATTGCCCTGCGCAGCCAGCACGCTTCCCTGTGCGACACTAGATAATGGCGCTAGCCTGGCTAGCCGCAACCGGCACTCGCGGAGCAAAGAGGTTGCTCGAAGTCGTGGCTCCAAGAAGCGAAGAGAGAGGCTTCAGTTGCCATACCGACGAAGGGACGCACGCACGTGTCGTTCACGTGCGTGCGTTGGAAACAACCGCAACGACAGACCAATTGCAGGTCGGGCAGAACTGTTAGAGCGCGTTGCATGTCAGTCGCGGGCCGGCTTCTATCCGCAAACATGGTGTCGGTTGCGATCGTTCCACGTAAAAGCACTATCCTTGACTGTAAATTTTCGTTGTGTGCCGCTATGATAACCCAGCACGTACTAGAAGGGGAGATCCACCTACTCGTGCGGCGATGTCGTGGTGGCACTCTCAAGACGGCAGAAACGCCCGTGTCGTCGTGTTTGTTTACTTCGACTACATTGGTGCTTTCTAAGCATTTGTGCTTTCGAACATCGACCGGATTTATTATCTGGAGCATTTCACGCATGTGCTAAAGCTGAAGGTATTACTGGCGCGTACCGTATAAAGGATGCGAATTTTCACGCGTCTTCATCACCGGAGAAAAGTGATTAGGGTTAGCAATCCTAACGCTTGCAACGTCTGTCCGCAACCAGCGACGCCGTTAAAAGGCTGCGCCAGGCAAAAGTCGCTCATTTCTTTCAAAATTGACACACTTAAAAGAGAAGTG